GATCATTTAAGTGGAGCAGAATCCCATTGCTATTATGGCTGTCATGGTGCCTGCTTCTGTAGGCGTAGAACTGACTCCCAATTCCGTTTAAATTTACAGTCTCTCTCCCTCCAAAGAGGTGTCAAATATCATTAGACTCCCTTCAGCGAGAATGGTGTAGAGTACTGATGTATGACAACTGGATTCAGGGAAGCGTTCACGGCGCCTAATGCTATTGAGGTAGGCCTGTATACATAAGCAAAAATACTGACAGAAACATCACTGGATGATGGTGTCAGCGGTTACGTTGCATTTATATTGAGTGAAGCAGACGTTCATCATGCACTTGGATATCGAATATCGACGAAGCAAAATATCGGAATGCCGATATTTATCTGATTAGTAAATATCGGCCCGATAACCGATACCGATATAATATCGTTACATCCCTACCTGTTAGTAAGTACATACTAGAAGTACACCAGGGCTGGTAAATAAACCAGCCCTGGTGGACTTCTATAGGACTCTTTGTATAGGATGAACTGCTACTTTCATTTTCACAGTAAGAAAGGAATGAGTTGGTACTTTAATGGCTTTAATGACAACTTTTACCAGATTATCAGCTGTGGAAAAGCCCCCATGGAAAATCAGCAGTGCTGCCAAACCACAGTATTTCACCTCTATTCAGACATTGAGACAAGTATCTGGTAAATTGGAATAGATCTTTTCATTTTCAAGTGATAGAGCTTCAAAAAACAGTATAATTTACTACAGTTGACTTTATTGGAAGATCAAGTGAAATTTTTCCATAGGTTTGAGCAGACCACAATGAAAGAGAAATACACAATATATGAATCTGCCATTCTGCACCTGTATCCTGTCATGTCCTACAAGCACTCTTAACAACAAGCAGTACCTTGACTCATAAAAAAAAAAAAAAAATAACTGTTGAAAACTCTCAATAGATATGTCATTTGGCCTAGGATACTACTGTCATTGGGACATGGGTGGTATTTGAAGGAAAATTTAATTTTCAAGATAAAGCTTAGAATTAGTCCACATGTCTCTGAAGAAAGAGCTAAAATTGTTCTATAAGCACTTGAATTCTTGTGAGAATCAATCAATAATTGTGACAGCATGAGAATGGAACCAACAGGAGCATTTTTTATTTTAGGAACAACTCTAAAGTTTCTATGTGGAACCAATACCATAAAATGATTGTAAAAGGGATGACCACTGTATTCATGTCCTTTCCAGTACCTCCCTCAACAGCAATCTGTTATCTCATATATGTAAATACTGTAATTTAAGAGGAGAATGGATGAAATTCTGAAGATTCATTCTTCAACAGCTTTCATATTTTTTCATGCAAACATACATTCTTCTTTCATATTCACAAATGAGACTCACTTTGCACTTCCTCTGTCTGCCTTCTCATGAGATCTTAGACCTTCATCCCGCAAATGTCGACTAGGAGAACGTGGACCAGAACTGCCTTTGACAATCCTTGATTCACCAAGATCTGAAAATACTCAATGGGGTTATCACAAGCAAAAACTCTGAGCTTCATTCACTCATAGAGGAAAACAATGAAAAAAGCTATATGCTGTATGTGGGAAAATAAATCTTGCTTAATACCTCTGCTTTTCAAAGCAGGAGACCTTCTTGTAGAAGGTGGGGAGCCTTTACTCCTCTTGCTGGGTGAATTGCTATGTCCAATAGACCTTGTCCTCTCCTTGTGAGCTTTGAGAGAGTCCCGCTTGGAGCTGCTTCCATGCCTGGATCTTGAAAGACTCTTTTCTCTGTAAAAAGAAAAACATTAACTTAAAAACTGTGTATGCACAGGAGAAATAATGAATGATTATAGGCATGCAGCAGCTACTAGGGCTCTTATACTACTTTTTTTCCAGTTAGGAGTGAATGGGAATTACAAATAAGAGAGGGGAAGGAAGAAGGCTTTGGTTGGACAAGCAGGGTGATGAGGGCACAATGTTACAGGTTGAGGGATTGGTGCTGGAATGAACCCAAAATGGCCAGGGAAGAAGGGGTGAGGATGGGAATGGTAGATTGGGTAAAGTAAGTTCTCCAACCATCTAGAGAAAATATCAACCCTTAAAAATGATTTGAATAAAACTGAAACTGGCAATATTGTAATACATCAAAAGCTTTCACTGAAGAGAGGATATCTACATCATTTACATCATCACCAGAGACCAAAGATTTAATTGACAACAAAATGCTCACTTCTTGTCAATGGAATGAGACTTTGCATGATGGTGAGACTCATCACTAGATGAGGAACTGTGTCTTGCTCGTGCCTTCCGGTTGTGAGAATTCAGATAAGAAGTGCTTTGTGGTGTACGTTTGCTGGATGTACCAGTTCTCTTTTTGTAAGCATCTCGTCTCTTGTGCTGTGAAGAGGAGCCACTATCATCACTGGATGATGAACTAGTTGATGAATCCGAAGATGAGGAAGAGCTTGAAGATGATGATGAAGAAGAACTGGATGAACTACTGGTAGAACCAGCACGTTTTCGTTTACTTCCTCCTGCTGCCCTCTTCTTCCTCTCATGATCTCGTTCCCTCTCCCTGCTATTTGAATTCACAGACTCAATTCTCAATTCATGTCATCTGTATTTTGTCATCAGAAAGGTGCTAGGAAGCTCAAACTGTACCTCTCTTTGTCTTTTAAACCCCTTTCTTTACTTGACATTTCTGACTTGTGAAGCTTCTTATCCTCAGATGATGATGCACTGGTATTTATAGTCTGCAAAAAATATGAGGAATTACATTGATCATTATTATTCTATTGCATTTGGATGGATAGGTAAGCACTCATAAAGAGGAGCACATGAATACAAGTATAGAAATAAAGAAAGTAGTGCTAGATTGGGCCCTCCAGAGGCTCAATGCAAAGAATCCTTAACCCCCTTAGTGCTTCATTTTCCTGCTTAATTTTACTCAAAAAAACTCATTTTCATCTGCTGCATGAGGTATTTAAGCTTTATACTCTCTGTATACTCCTTCTGAAAATCCACAAATTTATTAAGCATCTGTTGTTTAATGTCTTACATGTAGCACATATAAACAATACAACAGGTCAGAAATCAAATCCATACTTTTCAGAACATTTTCTTTGTGTGATAGTCACAGAAACAAGAAACAGTGCACAGTCCCACATCACACTGAGGACAACAATACCTTGTCTCTTTCAGAATTTTTTTTTTCCCAAAGGCATCTTTCTTTGAACAGCAGATCACACACATTCTTGTTGGCTTTTCTTTCTTAGCAGTTGCAGGTATGTGATGTATATAAAGTTTTGAAAATGTATTTTCACATAGATCCCAAGAGATGTCATGCTAAGTCCACTCATTCAATCACATATGGAAAAACATGGACATTACAGGAAGCAATAATTAGCTTCAGCTAGAGACTTACTTGCGTTATATGTTATTTACATGGAACCAGTACCCCAAAATAGGCTTGGGTCAAATGCAAAGGGGGTTAAAAATTGTTATGGGTTGAGTAGGTTTCAAGGTGACAAAGTAGCCTATGTAGGATAAATTGACCTTGGTTAACATGATATTCTTCAGAGCAGCATTTCATAATAAGCTGCTGTTCATCCTTGCTTTTAGAAACAATGAATGGCCTTGGCAATTAAAAATAAAATAAGACCTACACCATTTTCAGAGATACAACAGCAATTCATAGCTAAACAAGTTGGAGAACATGCAATGAAAGCTGCAACTCGAGACATCATGTAAATCATAGTCAGTTTAGCCCGAATGTTGTGATGGCATCTGAATCTGAGTTTACATTACCTTCCAAAAGTCCTTGCCCAGTTTTTGCAGTGTATTCCAATTTCTTCAGAAGGAGACAATGATATTCATGAAGATGTTAATAAACCAACGAACATCTTCATCACATTATGATACACCAGTATCTCATAAGGACATGTCTATTTGGTGCCTTGTAATGCAGGGTGTCAAATGCAATTTCAACCTCTTGAGTGAAACAACATTCCTCTCACAGAGCATTTCCCCTCATTGTCAGTATAGAAAACTAAAACTTGTTAGGGCAATTTCAAGGCTGACCACAGCTGGATTAGGAGGGACACCATGCAAATTCAAGCCTTTGCTAATAAAAGTCTCCCATGTTATTATTAGGCTAAGGTAGAAGAGGGCCGACGAGAGAAAAACTTTAATGGGAAGATTTCCTTCCAATGTATCACCTGTGGACAATTTAGCCTAATGATCACAAGAAGGATATAAGAGGCAACAAGCTGTGGCACTCCTCCCAGCTGCTAATGTAAAGCAGAGAGCAGAAAAACGTATTTCCTTCATGGATCTCTAGTGGATTGTGACTTACAAAATTGGCTCTTTTTTTCTCAACTATTTAAGGAACTTAGGAAAGTTCTTTACAGAAATATTAACATATGCATGTTTTTTGGACATGAGAATATTCAATCCACTATCCAAAAACCAAGGAAATCAGTGACCTCCATACACTCAAGAAAACAATATCTAAATACTGCAGATGGCATTTCCTCATTGAAGCAACTGTAATTTGATAGTCCTCAAAACACCTGTTGAAAGTAATTATAACAAAAACAAAGACACCCAGAGTTAAGTATTATTTTTCAAATTTATTTGAAAAAGATATCGAAGTCCTTACTTGAAAAATATATCCAAGTGCATATGGGATATTGATTGATACATGTTCTCATATACTCACAAGTTCAAAGTCCATGAACTCAAGTCAAAAAGACCACTTTTTACACAAGCATACATATAAAGCAACAACTACTACATGAATAAATGAGTGAAATGTGCACCCCAAAACAAAATACCATAAAAACACTTGAAGAATGACATCCATGAAAGGATTCCTTTTCAGAGTAACGATTAAAGATGATAAATCATCTACTTGTCCATTTAATCTAACCTTAACCTTCATTATCTTGGACTGCTGTACACTTCTAGTTTGCAAACACCCAAATGACAACTTCTTGACCCTTCACTAGAATTCTATATTCATCCTTAGTCTTGGGTACTCTCATAGTGTTAGCAGCATCTTTCACCTCTTGATTAATATGACAAGAAAGACAAGCAATTTCAGCGTTTTTCCTTTGGTCATTGCTTTGTTTTTCCTATGCTCATTACTTTGGAATGGCCCTTACAATGAATTTTCAATTAGATCTATTTAACCCCTTCAGTGTTTTGATATCACATTACACATATTGTTTCTTCAAGCTATTTTTTTCTTATATTATGTGTCTGTAAGATTGTCATAAAATTATACTTAATATTGCATGTGGTTTTTTATTATTAAAAGAAACGTGGACTGGGACATACATAAACAGACATGGACAAATGCCATAAGCGGCCACACAGAGTAAAGGAAAGGGAATTCTAATCAGACATCCCTGATGGCATTGCTCCACCTTCCCATGCTTCCTGTCATAATGTATCCTGTTTTCATGAGCCCAGGGAAGGCAGTGGCAACTTCGATGCTGCTTTGGCTGTAGGCCCACTATTGCTGCACATCGAGCTGCCAGGGCCAATGTGGCGGGTGATATTGAGGTGCACCAAGCCCCTACCTCTCACACAATGGAGCACAGAGTGGCCTATGCTTCAGCCCAAGGGAGAGCAGGTAGTACCCAAAAGCAGCTGGGTGAAATGTCGGCCCAGGAGAATACTGCCCACCACCAGTTGGATTCAAACCTGGACCTCCTATGTGCGCCCGGGCCCCTATCCACTGAGCCACGGTAATGCAGTAATATTGCATGTATGTTGGGTGCTAGGTAATGGTACATTTTGTATGCCAGTGCACAGAGACATGGCATTTAAAAACTAAATCACAGAGAGGACACATGACTGCCAGAATTGAAACACTTAAGGGGTTAAAGCTCATGTTATTGCATGTTACTTATGCACATCAATACCTTTTGATAAATGAACTGACAGCACATTCTTTTCAGTAATGCAGTAGGCTTTTCCTGTTCCCCTTTAAGCCAGTCAATTCAAAGAACTAATTGATTCACACATGGAAAATGCTTATTGATGCAAGAAGTGGGGGAAAAAAAGGATCTTAAAGAGAGAAAAGCATATTACCTCATCTGTCAGTGATTTTTGAGAGATTGGATTTATGGTTGATGGAAGACGCCTCACCGCTTCCTCCTTCTTAGCACGAACTGTCGCCAGTGATGACTGAAATCAGAAACCATTAAAATTAGTCCCAAAATGCAAAACCTCATTTAGGGGAGATAAAGGGGTCTTTTTAAGCTAAAGAGCTCCATTCATCCATAGGAGTTAATGGATACTTGGAGGACTGTTAACTGAAGGAGGTTGTACCATTCAGGTCTTGATCCAACCTTTGCAACTGGTGATGTTGCTCCACTTTTTCGAGGAACCTTGGATCTCAAATCCTCCACAGGGGGCAAATCAGACTTGTTCAGAGAACCATGTGAGTTTACGTTCCTAGGGAAGCACAGAAAAACCCAAGTTCACAAGTTGAAGGCCTTATTCATAAATATAAAACAATGAAAACTGGGATGAGTTAGCACTGAATGTACACACACACATATATATGTATATATATACACATTATGAGATGCACATAGCCAATAAAAGCAAGTCTTCTTCAATTATACATTTCTAATGGACTCAAAGAATTATTAGTGAACACAAAGGGTAAAAAGATAATCAGTTTAACATGAATAAAGATTTCTTAACTGCTAACTGGGCTGAGCTTGCTGTTCTGTTTTTCTTTTCTGTTCTCCCCTCAAAGCCACTTTGCTATTGTGCCATTGTTTTGTGTTTAGTTGGGAAGTCAAGCTATGGAAACCTCTCATAAGATGATGAAAGCAAATCACACATGGCATTTACTCATTGCAGTCTCAGAATTGGGGTAGCCATGAACAACAATGATGTTACTTGACCTTACCCATCGTGATACCTAGGTAAGTGTTTTGGGTGCAACCAGTTCATGTTTGCCCCATTTTAAATCCCACCAGCAAGCACAGCACAGCAGTCACATTCCTGGCAAGGAGACATGCACCCAAATGCAAGCTAAGACCTGCCTCCATCATCTCAACTAACTGATCAAGATCTAACATCAATTTTGCAACTCAAGCATTCAAAAATGGTACAATAGTTATGTGGCCTCAGGGATGAAAAGGAGGAAACTGGCATCTTCAGTGAAGCCACCCCTCCCCTTTTTTTTATCTCAGGTATTTGGAGAGGTATCTTCATGCAGCCTTAATCCATGGAACTTTGAAAAATTACTCAATTTTCTTAGTCACCATCAGAAGTTCCTATTCCACAGTTTATGAGAAACTCAAAGTTTTTTATGGTAATGAATAAGATCTCCATCTGCCTTTTATACAGGGTGCCTGAAGAGTCCCCATATATTTTGCAGAAATAATCATATTTTGGTGTAGCAGGGATATTGATTTAAAATGCTGAGTCTTCATGAATGTGTGGTAGTGGTTTCACTTTGACTTCAAGGCAAGTCATGCAATGAGATCAGACAACAGTTTCAAAGATTTAACAAACCTGAACCCACAGACAAAGCAATTCATGAATTGGTAAACAAATTTAAACTGACGGAATCTGTAAATGATGAAGCAAAATCTGACCATCCATATACTTCCCAGAAAACAGTGGAATCAATAAGAAGTTTTTTAACATGATCCTTAATCATCAGTCCACCAAGCATCATATGAACTGAACATTCCTAAATCAACTCTTCACATTTTGAAATTACACTAAAAAAAAGGGGAGCATATCGCATTCAAATGCTGCACGATTTATACAAATATTATTACAAGCTACAATGTGTGCCAATTTGGTTGAACAGATTGAGATGGAGGATTTAATGGATCACATTCTCTTTAGTGATGAAGCTACTTTCCACACCTGTGACATCATGAACCAACACAACTGCCATATCTGGACTAATGAAAAGCCAACAGAGTTCAGCAAATGGGAGAGTGATTTTCCTGATAGTGACAAGACCAATTTACCTTGATTTGCTTCAGCAATTCTTAGAGCCCCAACTTCTCTCAGATGACAATCTCAACACAGTTGTGTTTCAATAAGATGGTGCCCCATGCCATTATGCAAACATCATTCAAACTTACCTGAATGAACATTTTCCAAATTGCAGGAATGGGCATGATGGAAAAAGGCCACGAGTGGCAAGATCTCCTGACTTGTTTCCTCTATATTTCTTTACATGGGGTTTTATAAAAGTCTGAGGTGTACAAAACAAGAGTGGCAGACCTGCATGATTTGGAAAACCACATTTATGTTGCAGCAGAGAAAATAACTCCATAGATGCTGGTGAATGTCTTCCAGTGTGCTATGATAGATTTGAGATATGCAGAGACACTGATGTTGAAGCTAATACCTAAATTTGATATATAGTCATGGGTAGTAACCAAATACAAATATTTGGTTACACTATTGTTCCTTTTTTCTTAAAATAGATAGGGACTTTCCGAAACACCCTGTATTAGATCATTTGGCATGTTTTCTCAAAAATCCATCTCATGCCCTTATTGATTTCTTATCTTACTCCAAAGAGTTCAAGAACTATATGTTTCATCAAAATCACCTAGCTCCTTCTCAGTATTACAATTTCAATTCCTGCCAGTGTTCATGATAATTTAACCTGAATTAAGAATTGAAATAGATGGGGGGAAGCAAATTGCCAGGAAATGGGGAAGTTCCACCAATTCTTGAATAGTCCATAATTACATTTAATAAAAATTTAAAAAAACATGCCATGCTGGCTTTTCCTTTGAAACATCACTGGGCATTTCTGAAAAGTCAGATCTTCAAGGATTTGTTCCAAACACCATCAAGTGTTTCATTTCCTAAATGTTCACTCATCAGTTACAACCTCCTGCTACAACAGCTAAGCTATGGTGCTTGAAACCTGTTTCACATTCCCATAATGGTAACAGCTTATAAACATAAGATGGACCTGACTAGACCCACTATCCACTTTTAAGGGCTGTGAAAAGCTTACAGGAAGTATGAATGCATGGCCATGAAGTTTCGGCACTGATATCAGTATCCTTTGACATCAAGCAACTTCAAATATTCAGAATTCATGGTTATGCACTCACTTGCAATTTTTTCCAAATGGACAATTGGAAGTAGACAGCCAATGTCGACAAACACCAGTTGAACCTCCAGGCTTTGTTCCTAATCTCTCAAACACACTGGGCTTCTTGTTCAGATCTAGAGAGATTTTCCTCCTATCACTTTTCGACATAATTTCCTCAAAGCTCCAAGCTGGTGACCCCTTTCCTTATTCATTTGTCAGGCATTTTTTCAACTAACAGATGCAGATATTCCAAGGGAGAAAAGCCCATCCATCAAGTGTAATTCATTCAACACTTTCAGCCTGAAAGAGAATCCAAAAACTTTAACCAACAAATTTTAAACAAAATGAAGTGATCCTGCAACAAAATTGGAACTCAACCTCAATAGCTGAAAATAAAATATCAGGTTCTTGGGAGGTGCTTATGGATACCTCAAGTTTGTCTTGCCCTATGCATTGGTCATTAGTTTTTCTTCAATCTTGGATCTTATTTTCTCCCTTTTCCATTTGTAGGCTAATGTTCATGAAAATCTTGGGCACTATTGAAGGCCTACTGAATGGGATTGTAAGAACTATTTAAATATATTGGGAATATCATTGAAAAAGCAACCTAAATTATAAGGTTTGGTGCATGGAAAGTTCACTGTTCCAGGCTAAATTGCTTCAATTTCAGAAAATATCACTATTCAAGATGCTGGTACAGGTTTTTTTCAATTGGGTTTGATACCTAGTTGACAAAGAGCAGCAAGTAAATTAACTTTGAAAAGTATTATTACCTCAGTCCTGTTGGGACCATATGAGATGGTCCTAATTGCAACTAGTTTACAAAAGACCTATGTTATACCAATTTCATACATCTTGTCCTTGCCATCTCAAGCTCACCCATCAAACAGCTTAAAAAACTTTCAGCACCAAAAGCATGATCAGTGCTGTGAGTTCTTCAATGGCCTATTAATGGCTCCATTTACTCTTACAAATAAATTAGAGCATAGCAACACCAAGAGAGGGAATGTCCATCCCAAACAATCATGAGAGGAAACGTTTTTTTAGGCCCCTGTCTCAAGAAAATTTAGTCAGATCCTGAAGATATTCCCCTGCTTGCTTAGCAACAATCCTCCTATTGCAGCTTCAAATGGGCAAGAATGACAAGCAAGGGAGAGGGCCAAAGCATTTTTTTTTGGCTTGCCCCAACCTCAATAAACTTGGTGCTTATATGAATGTTAGTTACAAGTCATTATAAAAGATCTCAAGTTATACATAAAAAATATCTCAGAGCTTGCAATTAGAGGATAGAAGAATATAAAATTTTGCATAAACAGATCAAAGTAAATAAACTAACAATGAACCTTTTTTAAAAACTATTTTTTAGTAATTCAAAGCAGAGGTAGAACCAGAGGAAATCGGTTGAAAATGTTTCAAGGTAAAACTTTAGAAGAAGTGGATAGAGTGAAATATTGGGTGTCGCATAAGTTAAGGATTTGACATTAATGTAATTTGGGAATGATGCAAGATATTTTGTGTCTGTAAAATTCATGTTAATCTGCGATCAAGTAAGTTTTACTGACAACAATTTTTGTATCTCAGAGAAGTTCCAGATAGACATGAACAATTCTGACAATGAGTCAACATGGTTCTCTGGATGGACAAGTTTGAATCTATTGATACAACACAAACCAGACATGAATTCCAGCATATGTACCCTGGCAAGACCAGTAGGGAAAATATAGCCTGTGAAAATCTCAAAAAGTTCTGCAAAGTTGAAAATGTCCATGATAAGCAGCAGATGTCCATTCCTAGCAGAAGATAGAAAAGACATTGTGGATGATGCATTTGTGAGAAGCCCTAGGAAATCAATCAGCCAAGGCAAATCACAATTAGACAGTGCAACTTGTACACAGTTTAATGCAATGTCTTTTTCATTATTGCACTTGGGATATTCCCTATTGTGATGCTCCCTAATGGATTGATTTTGTAGGACTACTCAAAAATGCTTCATTCACAATGTCCTTTCTTTCATTTGAAAGAGGCAGACATCTGCAATTTTTCTAGTCATGGGCACAACCAGTTTCATGGAACTTTTTGAGATTTGTCATTGATTGCTTTTCCACAAATAATTTCATCAGGGTACACACACTGGAATTCACGTCTAGTCCATGTTGCAGATTTAAATTTGCCCATCCACAGAACCATGTAGACTCATTTTCCCAATGTCAGAATTTTTTATGTCTACCTGGACCACATCTAAGAAAAAAAAAAATGCTTGTCAGTAAAGCTTATTAGATAGCAGATTGACATGCACTTTACAGATTCAAAATATTTTATATCATACCCAAATTACATAAATATAAAATCTCCAGGTGACTTATAGGACAATCTGTATTCAAGGGTAATGTTAAACACTTAGTTTGAGAAAAAAATCATATTGAATCTGCTAAAATATAAAAGTGATCAATGATTAGAGAGAGATGCATTATTTCTAGGCAGCCTCAGAGGAACATCTACTACACTCCACTTCACTTGCATGAAACCTGAATAAAATGAGGCAATGGTCAAACCATATATTGAGAAATTTTTGAAGAAAAGAATGGTATAAAAGAAGAAAATCATGGCCAAGGCTTTCCTGACAATAGAGACCACACTTGAGAGCATTTTCTATTCTTGAGAATTCTTTAAATAAGAAATTGATTCAACATTACCTGAATCAGATAATTATCTCAAAAGGGTGGTTCAACAGGTGGCCCATGGGACAATATCCACCAGTCCCCCCTCCCAACAATTTTCAGCTATGAAGAATTATGATGGTATTAATTCCTATGGTTGGTAGCCTCAATATACGGGGTGGGGCAAAAGTCACTATATGGTTCTTGAATATAGAATATAGGTTAATTTTTAACATCATATTAACCATTGCTTAAAACAAAAATACAAATTACATAGAAAAATGATAATGCAATGTAACTTCAAAAGCTACCAGCTTGATCCAGCAGTATTACTCGGAAACAAAGAGAACCAAATTACCAAAACAGTTACTTTCAGTATACAAGAACTTTATAGTAACATTTACCCCACCCTATGTAAATGAAATCCTATTTTTCTGAATGTCACTGTCAGAAAAAGAGTGACAGCAGGCTGCAAGTTGGACCACCTAGAAAGTCAGGTTCTCAATGCCGATAACTTAGAAACTGGGATAGCTCATTTGCATCTCTGTAAAGCCAGAGTTTCTAAAACAGGGAACTTTCACCAAACCAGAAGAAAAATTCATGATTAAAACTTAACAGGAAAAATAGCATTTAATGAATTGGCTAAAAATGTAGGAAAAGCAAAAGAGATCAAAATTACTAAAACCAATTAATTTTGGAATATGACAAAAACTGAAACACAAGAGCAATTTTCCATTGTAATCATAAAACCAGAAACCCCACTATTGAATGAAGATGTTCATTGGATGACATATTTAGGCTATTTCCTTACTTCTCTATCTAAAGCAGTCCCTCGGGGTGAAGACAAAGGGTTCATGATTTTGAATGATTTCTTACCCTCAATCTGCTGCCAGTAGCATGGATACTTGAGAAAAGCTGTGGCAACAAGACTTTGAAAAATAATCCAGATAAATTTCAAGAAAAGTTCCAGAAACTACTATTAGTGAATGCAAACTTACAATCTTGACACAAATTTTAGATGGTCACTCCCAAATTGAAACTTTGGTTGATTAAAAAACACAGATACAACATGTGTCTCAGATCTCCCTGAATGTTAACTGTTTAAAGCAGGTCCTGTTGCAAAGGTTTTCTTCACTCAGATAATGAGATTTCATGTTTTCAGCACAAGTTTTTTTAATCTTTCTACAAAACTGTCGTTGATATCCCAAATTTTGTTGGCAAGGCCTTCTTCATAGAGCCATGCCACTGTCAGAAAACGTTCTTCAATTATATTGTGACTAATTTAATTTATGAATGTGATAATTGTCACTGCTGCACCAGAAAACAAGTATTTAAGAGTAAGAGCTGGGACTTTGTGCTCACCCTGTAAAAAGCATGATCAATTCTCTTAACAGGTTTGGATCTGCCTTATTTGGGTTCATTCAGTGAAACAATGAATTTGTCTCTGCCGCAGGTTTACAAGGACTAAGCCTACCATAGAATTTCATTGGCCTCGGCTTAGACATCAAAACATTAAACCAATGCTATCCGTACTGTCTTAGGATTCGTCCCACCAATCACGCCATAGCTATGCGGCCTCTGCCTCTGAAACACTGCAAGTCACGTGCAGTCTTACTCTTGCAAATGCATCCAGGGCTCAACAACAACGTTTCATTCTGTACGGAAACCTGAACCACGGACATGAGCGCCATCTTTGTAACATAAGAAACGCGGTATGATCTTTTGCGGGTTGTCTTTATAGGCCTATTACTTTTAGCATACAAGTGGCCAAGGGTTACATAACGCCTTTGCCATGATGTGCAACTCATTGATTAACATATTTTTCTAGAAAAAAAACTAACGGAGTTGCCAATGCATTCATAGCTTTTTCGCTAGCGAACTCTCATTCTCTGAATCAGTGCAAATCGCGAATATTCTCTTCCATGGCGTCATTTGTCAACATGGATCTCCACGTGGGATGAACACGTGGACGAGCCCTGACCATCTAAGTCTGTATTCGTTCGTAGGATCAGTAGGCTACTTTAAAATTTTGCTTTGTGCATATTCTTAAATTCTAGAAAAGCTCTAAGGTACCTATAGCTGATTGTACTAATTGAAAGATGTAAATTCTCCCATATTGAACGCAATGCATGTTATCGCATTGCACATGATCAACATCAATTGCCATACATTTATTGATGGGGGCAATAATCAATTTGTTGTAGCAGAAATGAAAAAATTAAAAAAAAATTATTGTTAAATTCTTTTTACTCGTTCCTCAGGTGGAGATTTAGACACTTGCTTCTGTTAGCAAGTTTAACATGAAAAATGAAATTTTTAAAACTTTTTTTCACCATTGCATGAAAACGAAACGGTTTCATATGTGATTCAAAGGTATTGATTGACTTGGAAACACTGACATCAGTAGGGTTGCCACCTTTGAAATTAGCAAAAGATGGACATTGGTCTGTGGACATATGGAAATATGGACAAATATATGAAGTATACTTGCATTTGTGGTTCTGCAGCAAATACCTACAGCCACCAAAGTACCAATTGGTGCTATAAGAGTGTGGCATACTACTCTGACTCGAAGAAAACAATGGTTTAAGCTACTATTAAGTTTTATTAGCTAAAAAATCTTAACAAGTTTAAAGTATGGATGAAGTAGTGTCCATATTAAGACAAGTTTGCAGTATGGACATTGCATCTGAAATATGAACTTTCCATACTAATTATGAATGGGTGGCAACCCTAGACATCAGGCAACCAGTGTTGGATGAGTTTTGAAAATTGAACAAAAAAATGATAGCTTTGAAGAAATTATGTGTGGTACTAGACAAAAAAATAATAGCTTTGGTGGCAGAGTAGTCTGTGATAACTTAATTTTAGAGTTGTTACTGATCAGGAATTGTTGCTTATTACTGATGAAATGATATTTATCAAAAGTAATCTCATATGATTATTCCAAAGTAGCGATGAGTGCATCAAAGAGTTCAGTGGAAACATCCTGGGCAACTGAACACATTTAACAAGTATAATATTTGAGTATGGCTCAATAGCTATAACAGTATATGATACTGACTTTAAAATAATGAAGTTACACACTGTCATTACAAAAATGAATAGTATGTGTTTTGAATTAAGTTTCAGGAAAGCCATTACTTATAGCAATGGGGAATCCCACATGAAAATTCCATATATGACAGGGTGTATGGTTCTATGTGGTTGTATATGATCATATATTTCCCATTTACCACCATGTGTGTATTCATATATTATCATTGTATAGTGTATAATATATTTCATCTACATTATAATATCAAGGGTTATGAGGTAATGGCATCATGTCTAATATGTGGTGAATATCTATTAGTAATATTAGTGGAGAAAATAATGAAGTCCTCCTCTTACCTCCAAGGGGCACCAAGCCCTACCCCAGGAGTGCTGGGGTTGGGGGGGTGTAGCTGCACCCTTTGCCCCCCCTGTAAAATATGCCACTACATGAGGTTGTTACACAAGGGCCGTTGACCAGATGCCTCTGCAACTAATTTTTAATTCACCTGTTACATTGTACATGAAATATTGGTTATGTATAACCTTTAAAGTAATTTCTAAAAATATTTATTTTGAACCCCTACCCTCCCTAGGTATCATAAATGTAACAAGGATGAAAAAAGTGGAGGCAGGGGGGCATGGGAACTCTACAACATTTTTACCATGAATTTCATGATCCTTTTCCTTCTTATTAATGTTTCTCTCTTTGTTTTGTGTAAAGCGGGGGCATGTGCCCCTCCTTGCCCCCCTAACACTTTGCCACTGCTAGGCAGTGAACAGAGAAAGTACTACTATCAGAGGATATGTTTGAACCAAATATTATCATACCAGCATTGCCATTCTTGTCCTAATAATAGTGAATGAACAACTCCTTTATCTTTCATTGGATATTTCTTCTTTGCGTTATTTTTCACAAGAAATAGCTTTTGTTTCCATCAATTTTTTGCATTATCTCTTCACAATGAAGATGCTCCTACATGAGTAATTAAAGTTTTGTCATGAAATAGCTTTAATGATGTAAATTTTTCTGAAAGAAAAAATGCATAACATTAAGACTTTCACCTTCAGTATAAAAAAATGTGCATACGTTAAACACCGTGAAACATGAGTTCTGGGAGTAATTGACTATGGTCTATGAAGAAGTAAAGCAAGTGAAGTAAATGAGTTAATTGCAAGAAAAGCAAGTCATGTATTGTGACAGGCCTTTGAATGATTATACAGTATTTGATGGATTATGAATCTTAGTGTGTGGGTATGTTTCAGGCATTCTCTCCATACATAGACATGTTTAACTTCATATATGGACAAGAATGACATGGCATATATGGTGCAGTTGTATGAGCCAATATATAAATAATATGGGACAATATATTTTCATTCCTATATGATTTCATGTGACTTGTGTCATTCCTCATATGTGTTTCATATACTTGCATATAGGAATTGCTCTATGTTCATATATGCCACATATATATTGGACTGGCTAAATATATGGTCTCATAAGATTTTTTCATGAAAATGCAACATATATTGAAATGACTTTTCTAAAAGAGTTCCTTGAAAGTCTTGTAGAAGAAAATATTCTATTGCCAAAACTTCATACTCTCTGAGCCTAACAGAGTTCAAGTCAATTTTATTTTCCATCTTGGTCCTTAAAAAAGACACTGGGCTTTGAAAGGTCTGGCTTTGTGGACAATAGACACAGTTTTCAAAGTATGGCTTCAAAAAGGAAAGATTAGCATTGAATGATGGAGAACATGTAATTATTGGTTGATGGCAATGGAGCAGAAATGGAACAAAACCTGAATCTGAATGGAACCTGAAATGGAACAAAATTGTTTACATCAAAAAGGAAAGTCATTTTGCTCCTCTTCAAAAGGTCTGACCAATTTTTTAGCTATTGTGCATTCTGTCATTTCCCAAAATTTGTTTGTTGCTATTTTCATTCCCTCCTATGTACTTGCTTACAGACATCTTGATGAGATTTTTTAAATATTTCCAATATTCATGGGAAAATGTTTCTTTTTTATTAAATCTTATATACATTTTTGAGACCACTTATCCAACTTAATGGGTTTGCAGCTTGAGGAGGCTAAGGATCATCTTTCAGTGTAGTCCTGGGCAATAGACTCAAGCCTGGCAGTTTCTCGATGATTCCTACATTCACATTGTGAGTATAGGCCCCAGTGACTCTGAAGCCCTTGTTTCACAGGTTCTACCATGATATGGGGGCTTCTATCAAGGATCACCTAGATAGACTAAAACTTAACATTATTATGTTCAAGTCAAGAGTTTCATTCTGGATCAGCCACTGCCTAGGATAATCAGGACTGCCATAGTCAATATGCTTCTGGGGTGACTATTGAAAAGTTGACTTTCTGGGCAGTGCAAAATGAAGTTTCTGGGTGTGATGAATGCAATTGAGATACATTGTATACATCTATCTTTCCTCTTGGCCCCATGAAAACTATAAATTTTTAGCTACCAGTGTACACCCACAGCAGCTGTTTCACTGAGGCACCTTGAATATGTTCACATCACACCTCATCTTATCTGTAAAGATGTGCAATTGGCATGTAATTGTGCTTTCAATCAAGTGATGGACTTGCAGATCTCCTCCATGGTGATCTTATTCCAGGCCCATTGAATGGGCCTCTGTTTGGTAATAGAGTGATCCATCTCGGTTCACTCAACTAACCAGTTAGACTTTTAGCACCAAGAAAGACATCAGCTTTACATCCTACTACACTTGTGCAGTGCCCCTCCTTCAGAACTGTGTGTGATATAAAAATGGTTGATGTGTCTTAGTTGAATAGTTGCAGTCAGTGTACAATGGTAGTTACAAATTTATAGTTGTCATGGGACCAGGAGGAAAGATAGATGTATACATGGTGTGATTTGTATGCCTCTACCTCATCTGGAAGTTGAAAAATGAGCACAAAAATCTCCATGCATTTTTTATGCACCACCTGGCAATATTGAAAATATGACTGGTATATTCCAAGCTTGATACATACAAGGTAGTGCTATGTGTAATACCAACAGGAAATCTGATATGATTATGAGCATTACTATTCTATTATGGAGTTTGAAAGTAGATCTGATTATAGTGTTTGAGAGCTGGTCTTCATTTCATGCTGGCATATTTTGTTGGACTTTTGGGATTCATTGAGTTTCTATAATCTGGAGGAGTTGCTCTATCATGGTGTTTCTTAACCGCTAGTCTGTGGACCTACATTTGCATCTCATTGGTCCTTCATTGCATAGAGGTTGAGTTCTTCTCTCATTCATGTAACCACAGCAAGGCACAAATTAAAGGTTGGAAACCAATATCCTGTTAACTGAAATTTTGCTTCAAATATTGTGTGCAGACATTCTCAATTTTATTTGCATGTCTGCCTCTTTACAACCAAGTTTTTACTTTCGGTTTTATATAATTTAGTGCACTGTCTTGATACCATATTTTCATCTGTGAGGAATCAAGTGTCTTCACTAATGTAATTCATTCCAACTAATCTTTGAGGTTTCTGGATGTGGAAATCAATTATGAGTATATAAGAATGGACAGTTTCCAATAAATGCTCAATTGTCCTGATTTTAACATGCTGACTGCTAATTGCCCTAATGTGACAAAGTGTGAACACAGTAAGAACAGGAGCAAAGAACAATACAGAATAGAGTGACTACTTGTCCTGGATTTTCCAGGATGCTCCCATGGAAAATTTTGAGGCAAGTACTCATGGACGAAGGATAGGTGATCACTCTATACGCTTGGCCTGTAGTAAACATAAATGGCTGTTGAATTGGATGTATGACATGTGTTAGAAATGACAGTCAGCATGTTAATTGCCTGGGTGATTACCCCCCTCAACAGCAAGATTAGCTATTGCCCTCAGCTCTTGGAGGTAGGCCTAACTCAGGTGGACCTAAGATGATGATCACTTTTTTTTAAGGATGATGCCAATGAAGAGATGATCAAAAGTTTCAATTCTGAGAAGAGAAATGGCCCTGGGAAGGTCAGTGGTCTTATACGTGATGGAGTTCAAGTGCTTCAAAGTGGAGCCAGTGACCTTGAAACAGCATGCTGCACATATGCATTCATCTATGTTGCTATCAGGACTGGAATTTTAATATCCATATATTACAGCTTCTCTATTGGTCTCACTTTCTACCAGAAATGGCTCATTAAGGTGAGAAACACTAGATTCCTTAACCTAATTAGGCATAGACCTGAACATGACCCTTGCTCAAGAATTCTCAACCTGGCCCTCCATAATGCCATGGTACTTCACCATCTGAGGCCCCTTCTAAGTTCATGGCAAAATATAAAGTTGTTTATGTTTAAACAGAGGGGTAACTGGGGAAGGAGAGAATTCACAGGTTGAGCCAAAAGTCCTGAAAACTGCAACGAAAGAAGGGTTTAAGAGAGCATGAAACCTCCCCCCCCCCCCCTCAAAAAAAAAAAAAGTATATATATAAATTTGAAAAGGCCTCTCTCCATAAACATGCAAACAAGAGGGGAGGAGGAGTGCTGAACCTATGATTGCAGCAAACATGTTTCTGCTCAGCAACCCCTCCCTCTTAAACTCAAGTTTAGTTACACTGATGTGGTTAAATGTATAATGTAAATTTTCCAAGTCAAATATGGGATAAAGTTAATCAAACATTGCAAGGAAATTCAGATGCATTGCTATGCTGGATGTTGTACCTTAAAGAAAAGTTTATTAGCCATAAGGAAAGTCTGGTGCGATATTCATATCCTCATGCCAGGCAAAGTTGTGCCGATGAGTTGGATTTCCATTAGGCATGGCTCCAGATGCATTCGCTTGAGATAGCATTATTCCAGTGAATCTTATTGGCAATTATCAATACATCAGGGTCTGCAGAATGGCTTACAACCAAAAATTTGAGGAGGGAGGCCAGAATTTGATGAGAAAAAAGGAAGGGAAGAAAAACCTTTTGTGGCATTGCTCAAAAAGTGCAGCATGTAAGTTTTCCAAGTCAAAAATGAATAAGAAAAAGTCATATGCAGGGTAGAATTTCAAGCACAACACATTTATTGTTTGGGCTTTCTATCATGTGAATACTTGAAGGGAAGAGTTTGCCATCCAAAACCTAACAATTCTACAGGTTTTGAAACAGAACATGGGGAACTGAAGTCACTACCATCCCCCAAGTGCTCTTTGCATTATACAGATAATTTGAAAAGTGCAGGAAGTTGAGCCAAAGCAGGAAAATCACCTTTCCTATGTCATATCTTCCTGCAGCAGACATGTACATTTTTGTGTTGATGCTTCTAAATACTTTTTGAATACTTTTAAATGCATGCTACTTTGTTATTTTCAAGCATTCTTCATGATGAAACTACTTTAGAATTGGACCTCTGTGGCTGGAAAATTAAGGCTCTAATTTAGGGTGAAAGTTTTTCCATAGGAAACTGTGAGACATTTTTTAAATCCTATATTTTGTGCCTTAGTTTCTTTGCATCTAAACCATTTATTACCTCTTTGGGCTACTACAGCTGATATTCATGTCAGAAAAGTTGTTGTGACTTCATAAATTTAATAGATCTATGCTATAAAGCATGGTGTCAAACTGGCAGCCCACAGGCCAGATCCAGCCTGCAGAGTCCTTTTCAACAATTAATTACAGAAAATTACTGCAAATTTCAGCCTGTTTGCATGAAAGATTTGGTGTTTGATATTTATTGTGGCCCCCTTATCACCCCTGCTATAAAGGAAATACTACAAGGTATTGCAAAGCTTGGGAATGCCTTTGCTAAAAATTGTGTTATTTTTATATAAATAGTGGCATATTAGGAATTAAAGGAAATTAAATTTTAACATGACATGTTTGAAACATGCTTATCCCATATCATGTGCAGAAGGATATTGAATTTATATTACCAATGCCAGTAGCAATGAGATTATAACCAACTACCACATGAGTTTGTATTGTTACTCTCAGAAGAAAAATTCTGAATGAAAGTTTAAAAAGAACATAGAATCTGCACTTCTTATTAAACTGGTACTAGCATTGGTATAATCATGCAATAATAGAAAGCTGCTTCCATGTCCAAACCAACTCTGGATAAAGTTCTCAAGTGTAGTTTTTTCTCTCTTTTGCCATTAATGCAGATTTCATGCAGATTGAGCAACTTGTACAAATACAGATTGTTCACATATATTTTTTTATATTCATGTTTATCCATCTAAACAATGCTGCATCTTCATTTTCAGCGCTTTCACTACCCACTGACAGTCGTCATATGCCACTTGCTTGTCAAGTTTGTGCTAGCAGCCCTCATCAGGAGTTGCCTGGAAATATGGAGTGGAAGGCCCCGGGTGATGCTCAGCTGGAGCCTATATGCTAAGAAAATTGCAGTCACAGGCATTGCGAGTGGATTGGATATTGGGTTCTCCAACTGGAGTTTTGAATTCATCACTATATCATTGTGAGATATCCCTCACCTTTAGTTCCCCAAACTTGCAGAATTTATCAATTTGAATCTACCTTAGGTAGCAGTGTGCTTTCTGGATGGCTCTACTTTGCATTTTATCCTGATACACAATGTGGTCAATTTTTTGCAGGTATACTATGACAAAGTCTACAAGCATCATATTCATATTGATCTTTTCCATACTACTTGGCCTTGAACGCTTGGTAAGTGCCAACATTATCTTTCAGTTTCTTGCTACTTCCTTCTTGATAGTATTGTTAAGGATTATTCATTAGAAGAATGGGTTTGCGACTGAATTCGAAAATAAATCTTATTTCTGGAAATTCTCTGCATGAAAAATTCAATCTCTCTCTTTCAGTCCATAAGGTAAGCACAGATGGATCACACTCTCAAATTCATTGCTAGTTATTCATTTTAGACTTATGTTGCCCTTTTGTTTTTCAGCGAATTGTCCTGTTGGTTGTGGTTGTTTTGATCTCTGGAGGGCTTTTCCTCTTCACGTTTGAGTCAACACAATTCAGCATGGAGGGCTTTCTAATGGCTCTTTTTGCATCCCTCACCAGGTTAGTAGATCACTGTTTCTTGCAGTGCAGAAAAATTCAAACTTGCACGTTTTCATTAGTCAGTTTGAATTTTTCATTACTGGTTGGGCAAAAAAAGCTATCATTTCCAAATCCATGGCATAAAAATCTTCCATGAGAAATTCCATTAGGATTGGATGTTGCTTTTGCTAGATTATTCACCTTAGAGCCTCTCCATTGCCATGCAGAGGTGTGAAGGAAATGGATCTCACTTTTGTCAATGGTATCAGATTTGATTATGCTGCAAGCATAGTACTTTGCTGCCAATTTTTTGTCATGTTCTCAATAATTAATGAAAGTGATGAAGTGCATGGTTATTTTCAGCCAACATGGTCAATCTCAAACCTACTTTTAGTTTATGTTTGGTATGTTTCTTTCCTAGATGATGAATTGGCTACTGATATGATTAACTTCATTTCCATATTCATGGTTTCTTAATTCATATCAAATATTTTTGGCATTAGTAATTCTGTCAAATCTGCACTGGTGCATCAATATTTTCATATCCTTCAAATTTAGCTTGCAAAATTTATGATTTGAGTTGGTTTTTTTTAAAGAATTTTTTTATAGCTCTTTTAAGTGTAGAAAGTTTATCTTTTCTTTCCCTTCATGTTTACAGCTAAAAATAATTACATACTCTCTCTTTAGTGGTGTCCGGTGGTCTTATGCTCAGATGGTGATGCAAAAGGAGAGTCTTGGCCTTGGCAATCCTCTAGACATGGTCTTCCATATCCAGCCATGGATGATTCTATGTCTTTTGCCCTTTGCCATCACCTTTGAAGGTGGGTTGATAGAGATGGTGATATTAAAACCCTTTTTCATATTTTTCCTTGAAGTGAAGGAAAAATACAAAACTGCTATACCCGTGAAAGACTTTGGGAAATTTGAATTGAAAGAAGACAGTCAAGGATTTAAATTAGAGAAGGCCTCACACATCTGTCACATTTTTAGCTTCCAAATATGGGAATACTTTGAGGAGGGGAAAAGCTAAGGTTTCCCTTGAAAATTGCTTCTGTCCTATGCACAATTCATGAGTGTCAATATACCCCTATCTAATTCCCTATTCAAAACACTTCATTCTGTGTGTGAGGGAATTTTCCAAGTGATTTTACCTTATACCACATTACACATGATAACCTGCTATGCGAGGTGGGTGAAGTCTGGTATCCTTAAAATGTCTTATTGTCTGGTTTTCTACCTCTTTCACATATTATAGGAAAAAATTAAAAAGGGTTTACTGGTAATAACTGTGCCAGCTCATGGATGCCAGGGAAAATCAGGATTATATGTTGTAGAATAATATAATAGGCCTTATGTGATTCCTCCAGATGGCTTTGCATCCACCTGACTGTTGAAAAAGCTCTCAGTCACAAATTGTTAGTGTATGTTTTCTCATCCTCTCAATAGCTTGACAGTTGCAACCATGAAATTTATTGCATTAGATGAGCATTCTTTCTTTGCATGGGGACCCAGTGGTGCAGTTTCTGTAGATAAGAATGGAGTAAAGAAAAATATCCATCCCTCTATACTGTGTACTAGGGGATTGGAAGGTTCCTAAACATTCACAAAAGTTGCATATGCAGCTGAACCTTGGAGTTTTACTCCACTTGCACCTTTTCAACATGGTCACATGATTAACCAATCCAGTTATTGGGTGCTAATATTGGTAGCCTATCTCAGATGTAAATATCAAGGAGTTGCTGAATGTTATGCAACTGTCAAGAACTGTGCTGTTAACCTCATGCATGAATTCATACATGTAAGCCAAAAATATGTTGTTTTTTGTTTATGTTTTTTAAATGTCCTTAAGTTTAATTGATGTGTTTATTAAATGATGTCCACATTCATGGGCTATGTGCACCAGAAGTTTTAAGATATGTGTACCATGGCTGAAAAAGCCTATAAATCATGGACAGTAGCCATGATGCATGAGAGTGTTAAAGACAATATTGATAAAACTGTTTGTCACATTATACAAAATAATCTCTCTTATTAGGTATGCCTCTGGCCTTCAGTCCCCAGGGGTTCTCATATGGGAACATGGTAGATGCATGGCACACCTTTTGGACTGTCCTAATTGGAGCAGTGATTGCATTTATGATGGAAATCTCTGAGTTCCTGGTAGTATCCTACACATCTGGATTATCTCTATCAGTGGCTGGCATATTCAAGGTGGGTGAAGTGTGCTTCATGCAGTGTGTATGGAAATTTTTTTAGTTTTTTCCCTCATCTTGTACTAAAGTCTTTGCTGCCTTCATAACATTTGCTGCCTTCATAATCATAACATTTTGCTTTGCAGGAGATCGTGACCTTGGCATTAGCTGTGGTCTTTAATGATAATGAATTGAATCTTCTGAATTTCATGGGCCTAGTCATTTGCCTCCTTGGAATCATCCTCCATGTGATAATGAAGGCCATATCAGGTACTGGCTCCAAGGAACATCCTCCTGCTGAAACACTGGAAATTCCCCTCCTGCATGCTTTCTCAGAAGATGAGGAAGACAACCTCCTCTTCCAACGCTCTCAACATCGTTGATACTCATCCATTCCTGCTAATTCCTTCATTTTCTTTGCACCCTGCTTCAGGTGTGAGACCACTAGCTTGCCAAAGACTTGATCATGTATCTCCACCCTTGAGATGTGTTTGATGAAATTAGTAGGGAAACAAGGTGTGAATGTTGCCAGCTGTGATGCTCATGTCTTCCCTGCTATATTTGTTGGTTGAAATGAGGTGGCTTTGTTGAATATTTATTGCTGAGATTGTTGTCACAAGTATATCATGGTGTGAACAGTGTCATTATGTTCCTCACATAGGTATCCCAAAGTTGTTCCTATGTTCTTGTTCCAACATTCCTCTGCCTAAGCCTATTGGTGATCACCAATGAATACTAAATAATTTTCTGCTCATCATAGGTCCTCAGGACCTCCCATCAGTCGAGAATGAGTCTTTCCAAAGTTTATTTGCTGAACATTTACTCTGTGGTTGTGCAAATAGGGAATATGAAGAAGGCTCTCCACAGGATATTCTGAGGCTATTGAGCATATTGAGCAAATTGGAACTATGGGATTATTGTGCATTCCCTTATCAGGATAATATACAGTTGTTTGCTGGATACTCTGACTGCTTATTTACTATTTCTACCAAAGGGATCTCTAATTTCCTGAGACTGTTGTATGAATATTTTAGCTTTCTGACTAGCAACTTATGGTATGGCTCATCTAAATTATATGCCTTCTGGGGGAGTACAAGAATTGAATGTGGTTTCAATTAATGATACAGGTAGATGAGAGACAAAATAATACTAGGGTGTTGACAGAAAGTTACCTTCAAACAATAAGCTGCACTTAAGTACCTTTTCTATACAGTGGAGTGACTTGATAATGCTGGAGCAACTTCAAATAGCTGGCTCATTAGGAAATTATTGTCAATGGAAGTGATATATTTATCATGCTCCAATCTCCTGGTCCCCAATGCCACCAACCACTTTTGCTTACAGCCAACAGTTAGTTGAGGTAGCAGCAATAATTTGCCAATGCACCAACTGATCCAAGTTTTATCTTTTATTTTTAGTTTTATCACTTTTATCATGGCACCCTACGTTAAAACATTATCCTGAAATGGTCCAATGGTCTTGAAAGCTGAGGTTCTTTTATGCCATTGGTTTATATTTCGCTCAAAAACTACAGCAAAAAGCTTTCTGAACTCTTTGAAGTCCCTGTATCAAAAAGAGGTGATACTGTCCAACAAAACAAAAGTTCAATTTCATTGGTCTCTAAAATGGACAGTTCTCTTTTTGTGTGCTTGGCAATATTATCACAAGGAAATCTCCAAGTTTCTCTGACTTAGCTATGGCAATCCAAGAATTGTATACTGAGTTAAAAAGAATGTCATATGCCTTAGGCTGTAAAGCAAAACATGTTTAATTAGTGCCCTCCACCAGAGGCAAATCCAGGAATTTTATTTGGGGGGGATAGAGAGGGGGGGGCTTATTGCTTCAGATTTGTGAAAACATGAAATATTGTCAATGTTTTTGGCTCCTGTCATTTCCTAGGGGTTAGAGTGCCTCAAAAAGGATGGATGAATTCAAACATTTTGGGGGACTTGAGCCACCTAGCCCTCACCATGTGACCTCCACAGAAGTCTGCAGGAACCTCCTTTTCCTTTAGGGATATCAAAATGACCTGGCGCAGGTATCCCAAGGATGCCCCTTTCTTGCAGCACAAGTATATCCCAAACAGTGGCGGTTCGTCAGAGGAGGAAAGGGAGGCCCGGGCTCCAAAAATTCTCGAGACCCTTCTCCATACAATGGAAAATATCCATGAGGATAGCAAGTAACTGAAAGAAATTTCAGAAAATCATTGGATTCATTCTCAATTGACGAAAACGAGTGAATTCCGGTCTGACAGTTTACTCCTGCCCAGAATCGCGTATGGAGGCCAGAACCTGATGGCCTCCTCTGACTCGTAGACAATGCATATACTGTAGGTATCCCGTACAGTGGCATACTAAAGCAGGGAGGCCGGCCTCAGAGTTTGCATTGTGCATGAGTGAGTGCCTGCTAGCAAGAGCTATCATGTCTTTCGGCTCCTCTGCCTCAAGAAGAGAGCTCTTCGGTCATCCAAATTCGCATTGCCAATTTATATCTACGCAGTTGCCATGGATGAAAAAGACACAAGATATATAATATTATATATCTTATAATACATAATATGATATTCGCTAGGTGTGCTAGTTGGGGTTTTGTTCAGAAGTTGTGAAACTCGCGAGGGGAGAAAGTCATCAGACCAGTACTTTTCTCTTCGGGCCAGATACGCCTCTTCTCATTAGTGTTCGATCGAAGGTTTCAATTTCCACTTTGCCTTTGCGTGATTTCGATACAATATAAACTGTAAACATGAAACGGTTCCTCGCTCGGTGACTGACCTAAGCACACTCTTCGTGCTTCATGCTCATTAATGCAAAAATGAATTCTTGTTCTTCAAGACCATTATCATGAACTGGCCTCCCCAGATTTTTCGTCCACGAGCCGCCATTGAAATCTAGTAGTTAAAATTGATAAAATAAATCTGAGGTTGGAGATCAGAACACATGGGAGACATCTCCCGTCAAAGTTATGCACTTGGAATTCATGTCCTCCTCGCACAGGTTGCAGGTGGTCCCTAAAAACACAGACATCCCAGGGATCTCCCCAAATTGTCTCTCGGTCCTCATAAGACATTATGAAGACATCCCTTTCGGGACACCCAGAAGCGTTCGACTGAATGTGTCTTGAAGATATCCCTTACGGGGTATCTATAAGAATTCAACTGAAGATGTCCCGATGACATCCCTTTCGGGATCTTGCGTGTCAGGACGCAGTGAGGGGTTTAAAGGTATTGGGGGGAACATGTCCAGAAAACACGTTACGTTGGGCCCACATTTGGTAAAGATGGGAAACGTTAGCGGAACGTGAATGTTGGGGAACGATGTTGGTCCAATGTGGGTATATCCCCACGTTGAGAAGAACTGCTGAACTCCTGGTGGAGAACTTCAACACCTTGAAGTTCTTGGTCATGCCACTAGATTGAGGTATGAGTCTCGCTTTTCTCAAAGTCCAAAAAAGTTCACTTCTTTCCCTGGAATCGTCCTTCGCATGATTGTTTAGAACCTCGCCATAAGTCTCGCCTAATCTCATTATAGGAATCAATAAACGCGGACATTTAATTATTTATCCACTTATTCAAGACAAATTCATGGAGCTCCGACCATAAACAAGCTCATATTCCCTATCAGGACGCTTGTGAAATATAAAAATGGTGGTATCCGAAAGGAGATCTGGATATACCTATATAGCAGTGATGAGCAACCCGCGGGCTGCATGTGGCCCGCGAGGCTTTGTCAACTGAATATTTTTTTTCCTGTCAATTGCCATCCGGAGCAGAGTGCATGTGCGCTCAAGGATTCCATTGTCCACTGCAGGAGAAACGGAAGCAAGAAATTAAACATATAATCTATATTTCCACCACAGTTGCAAATATCCCTTCACTTTCTTCTTGGTTAGTGCATGACTGCTCTCTGAGCAAGGGCCTTGCTTGGTATTTTGCTCGGTAAAAAGATGAGAAGAAATTTCAAAATTAGTTATTTTAGTTATTTGCATATCATTAGCATATACTATTTTAGTACCTGGTTTACTAAGCCAGGCTTATAATTATTTTTGTACTCATAAGGCATAAAACCTGTAATTCAGTGGGGGGGAAAAATAGATGTGGCCCGCTGGGAACCTAAAAGATTCACTTGCGGCCCGCAGTCAGAAAAGGTTGCTCATCACTGCTGTATAGAGTTCGTGTCCGTGAACCTGCGGGCCCTACGAATAATGTGATCTGGGTTGGTGCCATATAGCGAAGGGGGATTTCAGAACTGTCAGGGTCTCCACCCATGTCACAGAGTAGAGAGTATAACAAGAGGCTCCACTCCGTTCGAATCCCATTCATTGACAGGGTCGGAATATAGATGTCACTGTCGATCCTCCACCTCGCGTGCACACATCAACTCCTTCATGGCCGAGCAGCGGACTCAACGAGACACGCGTGCTACGTTGAGGGATCCCTATGGGTCGAATCCCCGAACGAATCGATTCCCGATTCCGCTGCCACGAAGCACGCCTCATGGAAGTGTTGTTGATATCAAGCCACTAGAATGTCTCTGTAATATTTCGTCCGCCCCCCCCCCCCCTGCCTCTCGCAGTGTCGCCTCTAGTTATACTCTCTACTCTAAGCCCATATCCCATGTCTTAGGGCGCTAAAATGTATATGAGCTCCGGGTAAAAAATAAAGTGTTCCTACCGCCGCAGTACTTGGATAACCCCACCATTCCCTCTTAAGCTGCCAATAAGTCTTGCGATGGCACGCTCGCACTCACACTAGGGCGTTAAATGTTTGTATGGTACTGAAGTGAAATAGTGTCAGATAATGGTAGCTTTTTCCACTCCTCATAACTCCTATGCACAATATCGGACTTGACTTAATGTTGAAGTGAACAACACCTACTTACTGAACTTTACGTGCATTATAATCTAGGGTAGATCGTGCTGGTTCCAGGAGAAGTCAATTGACCATGCTCTGGGCTATGAGCGCCGAGGAAACCCAGAAATTTGAATGTTTTCTTTTGATTTGCTAATTTATGTCTTCATAATCTCTCAACAGAGAACTTCTTCACTTCAATAATCTGGCAAAGAGTTATCCCCGCTTACCTTCGCTTCCATCGCTGCTCGAATTGTCTTTCGATTTTCCTTGCCACAGCGTTTCTTTTACCACCATGAAAAGAGATACTCAGGGGAAATAGAAACCAGCCCCGGTATAACCCCAGCGTAGAAGCCGTCAGTGGCAACTCTCAAAAAAGGAAAAAGGAGTGACGGGGCTTTCTTTCCCATTATGTACTTTTCAAATTGTCAGAACTCATCCTACATGCAGTACTTAATTTGAGCCAGTTGCAGTTTGAATAACTAGTAAATCTGTAATGACGACAGACACGAAGGCAACTCTTCGTTGCCCTAGACATAAATGCTGGTTGAAAAAAAAACCCTGAAATTGAAAGAGGAGGCAGCAACATCAACAATCACGTACTATAGTACGTGATTGTTGTTGGGTTGCGTTTTAAATGGAACACACTGTAGTACCGTTCATGACATTTGACAAAGTAAAGTTTATTCCTACCCTCTACCTACCCAATGTAGTCACTGCTGCAGAATAACTCCACAGTCATATTACTGTCTGAAATGCCAAGGAAGTTCCAGCTAAGAGAAATCATCCAATTCTATGAGAAGCATGACCGTACAGTTTGCACAAACTAAAGAGGGATACAACTCCTCAGTCCCTGGGAAAGTGCTAGTCACAGTTCTATTGCGTCGATTACAGATGCTACTTCGCCCTCCGCCTCCTACGCCATCAAAAATTCGCATAAATCAATGCGGTTTTGCAAAAGGTCGTTTCACCATAGACCTGAATTGCATGTTTCGTTTGTAGCGGAAGTTCGGCTGGAATATAAGCAACCTTTCTGCACGGCCTTTGTGGATCTTACGCTTACATTTACCGCCCGTGCTTATGGAAGATTTCTGCCCATCTCGGGGGTCTCCG